ATTATATCCTTTGAAGGCAGATTACATCCTTTGAAGGCTGAATTTGAAGGCAGATTATATCCTTTGAAGGCAGATTACATCCTTTGAAGGCAGATTATGTCCTTTGAAGGCAGATTACATCCTTAGAAGGCTGAATTTGAAGGCAGATTATATCCTTGGAAGGCTGAATTTGAAGGTAGATTATATCCTTTGAAGGCAGATTACATCCTTGGAAGGCTGAATTTGAAGGCAGATTATATCCTTTGAAGGCAGATTACATCCTTTGAAGGCTGAATTTGAAGGTAGATTATATCCTTGGAAGGCTGAATTTGAAGGCAGATTATATCCTTGGAAGGCTGAATTTGAAGGTAGATTATATCCTTTGAAGGCAGATTACATCCTTGGAAGGCTGAATTTGAAGGCAGATTATATCCTTTGAAGGCAGATTACATCCTTTGAAGGCTGAATTTGAAGGTAGATTATATCCTTGGAAGGCTGAATTTGAAGGTAGATTATATCCTTTGAAGGCAGATTACATCCTTTGAAGGCTGAATTTGAAGGTAGATTACGTCCTTTGAAGGCTGAATTTGAAGGCAGATTACATCCTTGGAAGGCTGAATTTGAAGGCAGATTACGTCCTTTGAAGGCTGAATTTGAAGGCAGATTACATCCTTGGAAGGCTGAATTTGAAGGCAGATTACGTCCTTTGAAGGCAGATTATGTCGTTTGAAGGCAGATTACATCATTTGAAGGCATATTACATCCTTGGAAGGCTGAATTTGAAGGCAGATTATATCCTTTGAAGGCTGAATTTGAAGGTAGATTATATCCTTTGAAGGCAGAATTTGAAGGTAGATTATATCCTTTGAAGGCAGATTACATCCTTTGAAGGCTGAATTTGAAGGTAGATTATATCCTTTGAAGGCAGAATTTGAAGGTAGATTATATCCTTTGAAGGCAAAATTTGAAGGTAGATTATATCCTTTAAAGGCTAAATTTGAAGGTAGATTATATCCTTTAAAGGCTAAATTTGAAGGTAGATTATATCCTTTGAAGGCTGAATTTGAAGGCAGATTATATCCTTTGAAGGCTGAATTTGAAGGCAGATTATATCCTTTGAAGGACGCAGCCTCTGTGTTGGACACAGTCATGTCTTGATATTGTAGAGCCAGAGGTAGATGTGGGAAAAAGTCAATCTGTGGATGAGAGCAGCAGGAGTTAGAGATAATCTTTATGGATTATGTAGCTGAACYGAATCACTGAAGATCTTCCAGACAAACTGCTCACATCTTTGCTCCAGCCCAGGTTGTGCTGATTGTTCGCTGGTTGTGTTGTTGTTGTGGTTGTGTTGAAAGCAGGTTTCGTCTCGCCTCCGGCCTCCATCACCATGACGGAGAAGGAGCCGGTCGTCCTGAACGCTGCTGAGGTAAACTGTCTGTCACCAGAACCGACTCGTCATCGTTTTATTTATTTATTTATTTATTTATTTATTTATTTATTTAAGACGTGACAGATGTCCCGGAGAATCACAGAGACGAGACAACAACCTTGCATCGACGTCATCTCCGCTTAACGTCGCTGCGAACGTGTTCTTTTCAAAACAAAAGAGCTGGAGCAGATTATTATAATAATAAAATTAATCCTAGTTTTGTAAATGATGATTATTTTAAATCACCTTAAAGTTTTAAATTACAGTTTTATTAGTGCTCAAACTGTGTTTTTAGCTCTAAATCTCCAAAGCTTTGTCTTCTACGGTTAGTTAGCTGTTCAGTGAGTGGAGATATTTTGCTAACAGACAGGTAAAAACATTAATAATGTGAGTTTGTGACACTTCCATGTTTAATGTTTCCTCGCTGCGTCTCCTCATTCTGTCCCTCAGAGACACAAACGTCTCCTCCAGCTGACGAGGTCCGGTCCGCTCGATCCGGTCCGACTTAATTACATCAGTCTGTGCTGTGGCTTCGTTCAGAGGGACATGTTGCTCACGTTAGCTCTTCCTGCTCGTCTCTGCAGCTTATTTTAGCTCCGCTGGCAGCACAAAGCCACGCCGCGTCTCACTTCGTTTCTTTAATCTGGTTTYATTGTGTGATTTATTKGATTTTATTTTATTTTTGTGTGTCAGTGTTTCGAGGGAGATGACCTTCCYGAACCCACGGCCGCAGACATCGACTTCCTGATAGATCAGCCTGATCAGTTTCACCCAGGTGTGTGCGTTAAAGGGACGACTGCATGTCGCCCRCTGCCTTTCCCACAAGAGCTTCTTCTTCTTTTGATCTTAAAAATCCTTCATTGTTGTCAGATCTTACATCAGGGATGACTCTCAGCTACTCCCACCTAAGATTTGAGCTCAGTTCCTTAAAAAAAAACAACAGTTATAATCATTTTTGTGGCGCTGGCAGCCATCTTGTTCAGTGTTTTAATGYACATTCATGCAAGTTTGATTAAAGTTCATCCAGTGAGAGTTGAGATATTTTGCTAACAGACAGGCGAGGCTTTATAGCTCCCATAATCATATTTATTTTTTAGCAATTTTTTGCTACTTACAGCTAATTATTTTTGCTTTTCCATCTATCTTTTTAGCTCTTTTTGCTACTTTCTGCTATTTTTTTTTTTGCCTTTTTTAACTACTTTTAACTTTTTTTGCTATTTTTGCCTTTTTTAGCTACTTTTAACATTTTTTTGCTATTTTTGCCTTTTTAAAGC